AACAACCAGATCACTTTAATTTACTTGCTTTTCTCTTTTATTAAACAATTACAAATTATATGTGTACATAGTAATAGAACTCGGTTTATCCTATACTTTGCCATGGTATTGCAGCCACGACACCCTGCCATACCCAATTGACGGCCTTGGTTCACACCAACTATAACGATAATAACAATATTAGTGTCCACACCAATGCACAATATAGTTCTTTATTATAAGCACGCTGCAGTTTTGTCATCTAATTCTAGAGCTCTTTAAAGCAGGATGGATTCTGATTGGCTGTCAAGGTTTTTATCGTTTATCAGCAGGAAAAAAACTGTTCTGAAAGTGATTCCAACAATATCGTTTCTCTGTGCCATTATCGTTATAGTTGTGGTGTGGACCTGACTATTCTTTCTATTTAGAACAATTTTTAGAATGATAGACACTACAAATTACAAAAATTACTAAAAATCCATATGGTACAGATACATTGAACATACTATGTACAATCTACATTTTTGCAAGGTTCTTGCCACAAACACTCTTTCCAGACACATACTTCCATGATGTTTTGTGCAGACAGCACAAGGCCTACCCTAGTAAAAGGCTGAATGTTTATTAGGGGACATATGTGACATCAAAACAATCCCATCACAGAATGCATCTGTCCCTGCAGAGGATCTGCTTTGGCCTCAGTTTTTCTACCGAAAGCATGAGGATTTAAAGTAGGTTAAATTACAGTGTGACTAAAGCCTTCTAAAGCAGATGGTCAAGAAAAATTCACATAGTGTGCACAATATATAATTGACATTCTATATATTGCATTTACTTTTTATCTCATAAAAGAGGTCATCAATAATCAACATGGTAATCGCTCATAAGGGTGCCAGATCCCCTAGAGTTGCACTAATGCATACGGCCCATGCTTTGCTTTAATTCATCTGGTTTGATAAATGACAGAAAATACATTTCTAACCTGTCCATGCAAGATGTCAGGTGGGTAAATGACTTTCTACAACATAAATAAAATCTAGACATTTGCCATGTGGAGGAGCCTTGGCTAAATGTATTGAAGAGAACCTGCATTAGCACAGACTAAAGGGAAATCCCACTGTGTGTCTTCAGCAGGGCCAGGGGAAGTGCTCGGAGAACCCAGTCAGATTTCATCTGAACAACATCTAAACTTTTGAATGGTAGTTTATTTTACACTGTTTATTATTAATAACACACTAGACATTTCAGGGTAAAAGCTAAAGAGACACTGAAGAGTTTCATTGAGGCTCATGCAAACAAAACGTTGCAAAAGCAGAACAAGCACAGTTGTTCTTACAAAAGGATTGTTATATGTTTTGCTTTTAAGGGCACTGAGTCCTTAGGGATCCAGTGCAAACTACTGCTCAAGATTAAAATTCAAGAGCTGCATGAAGATACACTGAGCAAATAGTCAGTGTGAAATCTGATGACCATTTTGATGGAATAGACTGAGACATCTCAGCAGGCCAGCCTGATATTGAGCCATCAGGCAGAAGCACAGCTGTCAAGGTGAAAATGGGAGGAGGGAACGATGGGAGACAGAGAAACATGGCACAAAACCAAAGACACAAGTTTAGTGGGCTGGCCACAGTCCAGGACAACCACATGAAACCCAACAGATACGTGCGACAGGCCAGAACGAATTACCTTTAATGTTAATAAGACGAAGATCGAACTGTTGAAATTGATTAAAAGAGCTCAGGGATCCAGCACAGGGATGATTCGCCTTTTGTAGGTCAGATATTAGATGGGTTTGAGCTGATTAACAAGGTGCAACATCTGAAAATGAGAAAAAAGCAAGTGCTTCACGCAGCAACAGCAGAATCGAAAAAATTAAGGTCACAGGGAACTCTCACAAATCTTCAGACAGTCATGCTAACAACGGCTGCCATATGCCGAAACCAGTTTCACAGCGTTTCTGACAATAATAAAGGTTAAAACGGGGAGAGAGCAATGCAATAGATCTACTGAAAGCCCTTAAAATTCCACTACTGAATCACTAAACAAATGAGACGTTTGATGTTGTTTTGCGATCCTCCTCTCTCTCCACTAGACTGCACTTAAGGAAGCACACTCACGGGAACAAACGCTCCAGAGCATCATATTCGCTATGCAGCAATTACACCATGCAAACAACCAATTTGTTTTTCAGTAAACACTGGTCTGTAAGGTTATATTAAATCATTATCATCTTACAAAATACAACCAGTTCTTTTAAAACCAATTGAAACAATTAATAGTATAATTTTAAGGCAAAACAGAACTAAAGTTTTACTATGTTTTTGTTTGAAAGACCCTGGAACACTATGTGCATTACTGTTGTGTTCAGTAGTTGGGGGTAGTAAAATAATCTTTTTGAAAGAAAATTTGATATACTCAGACTGGATTTATTTGACCAAAAATACAGTAAAAACTGTATTATTGTGAAATATTATTACAATTTAAAATAACAGTTTTCTATTTTGTTACATTTTGAAATGTAATTTATTCCTGTGGTGCAAAGCTGAATTTTCAGCATCATTATAGTCTTCAGTGTCACATGATCCTTCAGAAATCATTCTAAAATGCTGATTTGGTGCTTAAGAGACATTTATTATTATAAACATGATACATTTATTTGGGGGGGGGGGGGGGGGGGGGTTCTTTTTTTTAAAGAAACTTTTGTAACATTATACATGTCTTTACATTCTTTTTTTGATGCATTTAATACATTAATAAAAGTATTAATTTCCTTAAAAAAATCTTACTGACCTCAGACTTTTGAATGGATAAACTCATATTATGAAGAGAAATATGTGCATTAAAGCCAGTTTTATATGTCAATTTATGTCTGGTGAAGCATAATCTGAATTCAAAACGGATTAAGTATTACAGAGTGTCCCTTTGGTCCTGCACATCCCTGCAGTGAGGGACGGTCTGGAGGACCAGTTTGGAATCTGTCCACAACATCCCACACTCAACGGCCTGACAACTGTGATATTGCTCCACCTGCAGCAGATGCTTTACAGAAGATGCTATGAGTGTGAGTGGAAATGTACTGCTTAGTTTATTTAAAGCAACAGCAGTATGAGCCTTGTACGGCAAAGTGCTGAAAAAGATTCAAAATAAAACCCTATGGCTTTGGATCGACATGTGGTTGACTAAATAAATAATGACAGAATTTTCATCTTTGGGTGAACTATCCTTATACTGTGTGTGCTTTGTTTGCACTCACTCTACTGTAAACACCGATACATGCCTCATCTGTTACTAACACACACACCACAATATGATGTTTTACATTAAAATAAGATCTGACACATTCAGAATGGCCAGTTTAGGATGAAGTGTCGTCTTTATCTCTAGCACTATGGGCTATACTCTTTGGCCCTCGTGCTGGTCCACAATCCTGATAAGAAGAGTTATTGAGATTGTAAGCACACCCAATTGAACTGAGCATAGCTTAATTAAAGCTCGCAGCTCCCGAGAGTCCCAGGATTCCCTGACATCTATCTATCTCTACACGCCAACCTGCAGGAACAGACCAAATCTCTCTCTCTCTTTCGCTCTCTCCAAATATACTTCTCCATATAGGGATGTTTAAATGCTAAAGTAATGTTTAGTAATAGGAAAAGGGATCTTTTAAAAACATTTGAAAAAATAAGGAAAATTAAAACAGAGAACTTACAGTGTACTGACAGTTAAACGAGTTTAAGCATTCACTGCAAAGCCAGAAATCAGAATAAAAACAGATCATATTTTTCTTATTCCCATTCATGCAAGATCATCTGTTATTTTGGGGTGTAAACAAACTAAAAAGGGGTTACCTCAGTCACAAACTTTTCACGAGGCAATGAGGAAGCTTACCTACCATTATTAATTATACCTGTCAAAATGTGAAATTTCCCATGTGAAATGCCTGTTTGAGTAGAAAGTTTCATTGGATTTCTATGGAAATTCACACAGCATAAAGATCGGTTAAAGCTTTGTCTTGAATACAATTGATTAACACAAATACTGTGTACTAAAACAACAATCAACGTTTCAATGTAGATACGGCAAACAGATTAAAGCAAAAAGACTAAGGGATTTCTTAGGAGACCTGTATTGATGATAACAACAGGTTAGTGTTGTTTGTTTGTTGTGTCAATAGTGTCTAGTGCACTGCACATTGTCTGAGTGTGCTAAAAAGCACACCTGCGAGCACATGGAGTTCACATCATCAGCACTGCGACCTTCCCATGAGCAGGTGACCGAGGACAATGTCATTTGTGACATGCCGGAAGTTGTCTCGTATATAATCGAAATTAGCCCAAATAATCGAAATAATCCACCCGTAGCCTACGTCTTTGATACTTTGGCGTCCCTCGAAAAATCTTTTTTTTTTTTTAGGAATTTTACATTTAGAGGGTAAAATAGGAAGACGATGCAATCACAAATCAAAGTTAGACCGACGTAAATAATTTAGCAATAGACAAAATCAGACACATTAATACGAAGACAACAAAAACACATATTTTAAACTGTTCTATATTATGTTATACACATGTACACAAAGAAAAATCATATTCAATAGAATGTAGATTGCAGCTGGCCCTCTTGTTTTATACGAGAACCATCTATGAAAACTATGAAACATCTGCAGCGATGAATAGGATAAAATGCACCGAATTACAACCCATTACATCTAATGAGGTAAGAAGTTTCTATTTTTGGCAACATCCTTGGTGTCGGATGTGTGAAAAAAATCGATCTATAATAAATCAAAATGTGCGTGATTTTTCTCTTCTGTCTTATTCAGCGGCTGTGGTGGAAATCGACGTTACTGTGGCTCCCCCAGCAGTTTAAAAACATGGAGCCATTTTAAATGGAATTACATTGGTCGCTGAAGAGAAGATGACCAACACTATCACTCTAAATTATGTCACAATTCCCGTCAGTTTTGTTTATATTCCAAGAACAAATCGTACTAGTTCAGTTCTAAAATTAGGCATTTAACTCACCAAACAGTCTTGAGGAACAATACTTCGATCTGACTATGGTAAAAATCCCCCACAAAGATGTAGAAGTGTACGGAGGCTGGTAGAAGGGCTCGTCGTCCGCACGTTTCTCTGCTCGCAGTCTCTGCCAGCAGCCGTGTTTTGATGTCACTCGGTGGGCGGGGACTTCTGGGCTACCCACATTACACTCAACGTTTGGAAGACCCCCGGCCCTCATACGCGATTTATCGCCCCCGTGAGGTTATCTATGTGGTTATCGTGTCACGTCTTTATCGACAGTTATGTATTTTTTTCCTTTGGTTCTGCAATATTTTTTCTACTAAAGAAAATTACCAGTACACCAAGTATACACATAATGCATACAAAGTGCTTTTATTGTAACTGTCTCCAGCAATGTCAACAGTTGGGCAACATGTTAAACAAGCATATCGTCATCATAATGCAGTATATAGAGGGAATACCGTTTTCCAGTCATAGCAGGCTACAGTATTGAAAAGACATGTGAGTAAATAATTACAGAATTTTCTATATGTGTTCATCAAGATAACTAATATGCATAGATTTATATTTTTAAGTAACTACAATTGCAATACTGAAATGCATTCAGAATGAGAAATTCAGTATTTCCAGTTTCTGCTTTTAGACAAACAGTCATGTGATTCAGTCTTTGTTAATACTAACTCCTGGTTTCACAGACCAGGCTTAAGCCTAGTCCCAGACTAAAATGCATGTTTGAGCTGGTTTAACTGAAAGCAACTTGCACTGAGATATCTTAAAATATGTCAGTGCCATGTTTAGTCTCAAGAAGCACTTTTATTTTATTTTATTCTAATGCATGTTTATAAAAGCTACTTAAATGTCCTTATTGAACTAAGGTCTATCCTGGCTTAATCTAAGCCCTGTCTGTGAAACCAGGCCTAAACATTTTATGGCTAATCCATAATGAAGTGATGTGTCACAGACTACATTTACTGCACAAAGCTTAAAGAAAGTTGACTACTGAGGATTGCAGTAATTATGAAATTCACAGTTGTTCAGAAATAAATATGCAATATTCAAAAAACATTTGAACTTTCTAAGCATACGGTCCTTTAAATACAACGGAGCACATTAACAATGGTTTCATTGTGTACATTTTACTTCAGTTTCACAGTTCACACCCAACCTGTTAAATAGAGGTTAATGGTTACTAACTTTTGAACAATGCAGGACTGATCCTTATTTTGACTATCCAGGTTTTTAGATTAAACATGATTAACTTAGTTAAAAAAAAAAAATATATATATATATATATATATATATATAAACCTTTCAGCAAACATACATTTAGGTATTTTGTTATATGTTTACTTTCGGTGAAAGAGAAAGGATGAAAAGGATGGATCACATTTGCTGTAAAGGGATAGGTGGGGTGATAAAGTTTCATAACGTTCAATCCTAATTCCAAGTCCATAGTCAGAATCACAGATTCTGTAACAAACAGCTTGTTTAATTTCACATTGTTCTCAGTCTAATGTTCTTTAGGCTCTTTGGTTTCGTGGCCCGCTTTAGGAATGTATTAAACTGAGGTAGTCCTGTGATGATAGTGAAATTTGCCCTGGCGCCCTCATGTGGCACAAATCAGAGCGATCTGTTGCACCTTTCCCAGTTCATTCAGCAGCTGTTTGATGCTTTGCTTGAGTTCAGGCAGACGGTCCAATGGCTCTGGAGGCTCCAACTCACCCGTGCAGTCCAGCCAGTTTTCAAGCACTGAAACAGGAAACCATGTTTATGAATAGTTAGTGTTTCGATGTATTAGCTTTAATGTAAACGAAACATTCCCATTATACAAATCACCAAATGAAAAATTGCACAACATAAATCCAGCCCCCTGAAACCCTCTGGCACACCATCAAGCTCCCTTTCGATAAAGTCCATCCTGCGAGTAACCTCTTCTTGTAAAGTCTCGATGTGTTCCAGCAGGTTGATCCTCCACTGCTGGGGCTGAGCTGCACCCTTAACCCCGCCTCCATCACCACACGCCTCACGCTTCTCTCCAACATCCTGCAATTTCACATTCACTCATTACTCACATTGCAGCATTCAATGTAATTAACATTCAGTTACAAACAATATAAAACAGTCAGTCTACACTACTGTTCAAAAGTTAAGTAAGATTTTTTTTTATTGTTTTTCAAAGTCTCTAGGCTCACTAGGGCTGCATTTATTAAATCAAAAAATACAGTAAAACAGTAATATCTTGAAATATTATTAAAATGTAAAATAACTGCTTTCTACTTTAGATGCATATGTATTAAATATATGTATTAAAATGTAATTTATTCCTGTGATGCAAAGCTGAAATTTCAATAGCCATTACTCCAATCAGTGTCAATTCAGTGTCACATGACCCTTTAGAAATCATTCTATTATTGCTGATTTGGTGCTCAAAATTTTTTTTATTATTATTATTATTATTATCGATGTTGAAAACAGCTTCTTAATGTTTTTGTGGAAACCATGATGCATTTTTTTCTATTTTTTATAATTTCTATAAAAAAAAATCTTTTGAACAAATGTACATATTTTGAAGTACACTTTTTAAGTTTGCTGTGAATCATTAAAGGAATAGTTCAACTCAAAATAAATCCTAAATGACGACTTTTTCGTTTTTGTTTTATTATGACATCAAACCGGTCGTGCTGTGTCTGAATGAGCCAGATTCAGATGTTTAATATTCAGTACGTATTTTAAATATTGATGGACCTCTTATAATTTTGGACCACTGATACTTTTATTGTGCTTTTTATCATTTTGGAGCTTAACAGCACAAATCCACATTCACTTTCATTATAAGGAAAGAATGGCACATTCTTCAACATTTCTATTCTATTAAAATCCACTTTTAGATGTACTATTCCTTTAAAAATGTCAGCTCACTGTAGGATCAGACCGTAACAATTATATTTCACAGAACTGGACAGTGTTAAATCACTAATATTAACCTCATTTGACCCTCACCATCCTGTGGTTGAACAGCTGAGCACTAGATGTCTTCAGTAGTGCTGGTTGGATCTCTCCATAATAGTGTTGTTCATTCTTCAGCACTCTCTCTGTGTTGTGTGATCGATCTTCCAACACCGACTCAACCCGTGTCTTCAGCACCAGCCTCGGCTCCAATACTTGGTACAGTGTTTGTGGCTTTTGGTAGCAGTGCTCACTGCTAATGTAGTCTTGGAAGGATGAAGAGAAGGGCTCTTTATGTAGAATGACTTCTGAAGATGCTGATGAAGAAACGTTTTTTGCGTCTGGAAGAGCCATGCTTTTTATCCTGGATCTCCCAGTCAGCTTCCACGGCTCCCGCCACAACTTGAGGTCTGGATGAGTCTGGCTCCTGCAGAAAGGGATGTAACACTCTTTTCATGTGGCTTTTCAAACAGCATGAGTCTAATTGGTTAAAACAGATATAAAACAGCATCACTTAGGCCGCATTTACAAGTGACCCAATTCAGATTTTTTCCTCCCATGTGGCACAGATCGGATATGACCCACAAACATGTAAGCAGGGAAAAAAGCACATGTATTCTGATATGAATTGGATATGTGCATTTGCAAATGACGGTGGCGAATGACTTCAACTCGGGTGGAGACAAACTGCGATCACATGACTCTTTTCAATGGCGCAATGGAGGACGAAGGCTTTATGTATTTTGAGTCTTTGGGGTGAAGGGACAGTGCAGGCAAAAAAGCAGGGTTGTTACAGAAACAAAGGCGTATTTTAAGAAACTTCAGGCGAGATGGGAATGCACGGTTTTAAGCGCTCGTGGCTACTGTGCCAACATAAAATCAAAAGCTTAAAAAGCAAGTACAAGGTAGTCAAAGACCACAACAACAAGAGTGATAATAGCCATATTACATTCCCATTCTACAAACAAATGGAAGGCGTTTTAGCTGCCGACCACCTGAAATACTAGATAGTTTCAGAGAGGAAGATGCCGCGTCGCCAGTGGACTGTCAAGAGCCGGAGTGTGAGAACATTAAAGTTACAGGTAAAGGTAAATTAAAGTTTTTGCAGACATTAGCTGGCATATAAATGTTATTTTAGCCATTGCCAAATTAGAAAAAGTGACGATATATTATTGTGTTAGCCAGTATAACATTAGATAGAAGGGTGTAATGTGTAATGACCTAGCTATCATCAAATGAATAGTGTAAATGAAGATATCGGATATGGGTCACAAAAAAAATAAAAATAAAAATTCAGATATAGTCAACAACTGGGCATCAAAACCTGCAGTGTAAATGTGGCCTTACTGTAGCACGCTGATTTTGAGCTGCAGGCCATTGAGGACTTCCAGCACATGCTGAACGTCCCCTAACAGCTGATGAGTGCCTGCGATCTTCTTGCCGTTCTGATGGGAGTAGTTCTCCAAGAAAGAGAGGCCATACATATGGCCGGTGCTAAGCCAGTCCCTGTCATACCAGTACCGCAGGCTCTGTCTCTGACCTCTGGTCTGCCCTGGATACACACAAACAAATGCACTGGTAAGCCAAAATTAACTTAAAACAGCAGAAAATTCCCTAATTCCCTAGCAGGAGAAAGGGGAATTGACAAAATGCGGAGTCAAACAACTAAAACTGCCACTCATCCTGACGTCCACATTAGAGTTTTGTTTAGAAATCAACACTAAAACATGCATCACTTCCAAACCTGGAGAATCCCGGCAAATGAAGCAAGCGTATCGTTCTGGAACGTTCTCTTCCAGGAGGCCCATACAGGTTCCATGCTGCCAGTACAGACACTCTTTACACTGAGGTGCAAGAGAAAAAGCAACAGATGCGATCATTGTTCATAGTGAAAATGTTATAGCTAAATCTTCTATTATAACATAATATTTCTATTTTAAAATGTAATTTATTCATGTGATGTCAAATCTATATTTGCAGCAGCCATTACTCCAGTCTTCAGTGTCACATGATCCTTCAGAAATCATTCTAATATGCTGATTTGGTGATCATTAACTCTTTTGTAACATTAGAAATGTCTTTACTATCACCTTTGGTCAATTTAATGCATCCTTGCTGAATCGAAGTACTAATTTCTTTACTGACCCCCACATTTTGAATGGTAGCGTACAGGCC